TGTCCTTGGCGTTTTGTATCGAATCGCTGCAGCAACAGCAGCAGCACCTGCGCCTTCAGGTGACACGCTCCGCTCGCACTTCGCCAGCTCAAGGATAGCCATAAAATACAATTGTTTGCAATTATTATTTTTGCTGTTCAAAAGGATTAAGGCTGCCAGAGAAAAACAAAACAATTCGCTACGCAATTTGTATGCAACAATAAGAGGAAAAAATCTCGAAGCGAGCGGGAACACACATGTTGTTTCGATTTCGGGCGGCAATAAAATTGATATATCCTTTGGCACAATATGGCCACCGCCATGTGCATTTAGATGGCCATGTCCTGACGTGGCTTCCATGGCTTTCCTGGCTTAGTTTCCGCAATTTTTTCCCCCCTCTCGCTTATTGGCCATTTAGTGCACGTAGGGTAGTAGTCGCAGGCAAAAGGAGCAAATACGCAAAAGGAAAATAGTGATATTTGCCCAAAAATAAAAACTAATGGCCAACGGGGACATAGTACAGGATACAGGATACAGAATCCTGCGACGACTTTGCCATAATCCCGTCAAAGCGTAAACAAAAATTTCAGTTATATAGGAAATCTGTTTCTGCAGATATTTTTTTACTTGATTGGCTTTTACCCCTTCTCCAAATTTTGTATTTCTTTTGCCGAAATTGGTTTAGTCGTAGATCTTTGTTTTTCTACATTTTTCCGTTGTTGTTCATAAATTATATTTTGAAGTGCCTTGTTTTGATTTTCTGTACAGGAATGCGTCATGCAGGTACATTATGCAAAATAACTCAAGGTACAATTTAGATGAAATCTGTTCTTGTGGGTGGCTTCATATAAAAGCAGGAAGTGAAAGGTTTTTAGTTGATTTTTTGCCTAAGAATTGGTTTAAAAAACTAGAAAAATCTCTAGATATACCCAATTAATTAAAAATCCCCCTGCCACACCTCTACCGACTTAATTACCTAGACAATTTCCACGAAAAATCACCAAAAACTATTTAAAGAAACGACTATTTAGAGAACACGCCCTCTTAATTTCATTAAATCAAATTCAAATTGCCCAAGAACCAAGGAAAACCAACCCAAAAACAAAGAGATTGCAATTTTTCACTCCCCCACTCCAGGAAAATAAATAGAAAAACAAGGAGCACAGGAGCCACAAAATAAGAGAACCAAAAAAAACAGGAAAGTTGAAAAAATATGGTGGCATATGCAAATGAGATTTCAGGGCAGGAAACAAATCATTGAAAAATTGTCACCGAGCCGCGACAAAGCAAACAAAGCGGCCAAAAGGGCCGGGCCCAGAGCCCCGTCTGAGTTCCTCCCGGATCCCGCTCCGTTCCTAGCTCTCTGTGAGAGCTATGAGCAACTCCCTCCACCGATCTGGCCACCATCAACATCACCATTAGTGGCTCAATTGTGCGCCACATCGGCTGGCAACCACGAATCGCATGCAAATGAAACCGCAGCCACAAAAACAACGGAGACACTCAGGGAAAATGTTAAAAGAAAAAAATATTAAGTACGATTTAGGGTATTTGTTTTGAAATAATTGGAAATAAATAAGTTGGAGAACCAAATACTAACTAAACAAGAAAGCCAAAGTTTATAGTCCCTTGCAGTTTGCTTTTGAATTATAGGATCGAATCGGAAATCGATCATAATTGTTTAAATTGCTTGTATTTATTTGTATAATAATTTTTTTTGGACAAATCAAAGTTTAATAAACTCATAAATAAGCCAAATAAAAAGACAAAGCGTTCCTATGTTAGTTTTTATTGGTTTTATAAATCTGCATATTCAGTTTTTTTTAAAATAAATAAATAAATATTTAGCCAATTTTAACGATGTAACCCCTTATCTTTTTTTGCAAAAAATGGAAAAAATATTGAAAATTTTATTTTCAACCGGACTTGCCTAGATCGATTGGCTCTCATGATCAAGAATATATGGAATTTATAGGGAAATGACTCCTTCGCAGGTTTTTAAGCTTCTGGCTAAAATTATAATACCATTCTTTGAGTCGATATTTATCTATATCTATAGAGCATTTACATCTATACGTATATAATCCAAAGATTTCAAATAATTTTATATATATTATTTTTTATATATATTAATTGATTTTAAAATGTATCTTTTCTTTCTTGAATTTTTTTCAGAATTTTTCTCAGTGCTCAGACAAAAGGACATCATCCTGGGAGGACATAGGGCGCAGCTGACGAATTGTGAAAAAAGCCTGTGACGGAGGGAAACAAGATGGTGGCACCACCACCACCTCGACCCTCCGCATACCCCTCTTTTTCCCGCGGTCTCTCTATATAATTTTCTGCTGCGTTCACACGCCATCGTCGCATTTTTTTCCTTTCCTCCTTCACCCATCTTTTGTTTGGTTCTTTTGGGCAAACATTTAAATTAAAAACATTTACATACGATACGAAGGCGGGGAAACAGAGGAGCGATGAGGGAGGTGTGTGCATGGAGGAGTGACAGGAACCCAGATATTCAATTATGATTTTTCAATTGGAGAACTGCGGAGCGCACGAGACACTTTCTCAGATAAGTCGCTGCCAGTCCCAGGATATGGGGGCAGAGGGAATGTCTGGTTCTAGGATCGAAATATTTTATATATTTCAAAAAATAAAATAATAAAAAATCATTTTAAAGACAAGACTTTGTAAACAATAATCAAAGGAACAAACTTAAAAAAGGTAGATAAATAGTGTAAATAATATAACTTGAACATGCTTATTTAGTTTTAGCGATTTACCAAATTAAATACATAAAATTTAGATATTCGATAAATTTATAAATTTAATTATTTTAAAATAAATTATACTTTACTCTAATATTGTGTTTAAGGAACTTTAAAATAAATTAATAATAATAATAAATTTTATATAGAACTTATAAGTTATAGGTTTTAAATTGACAAAAGGATTTTCATGATAAAATCGTTGGAAAATATCTTGACATTAAATTTATATTTTAAATAATTAATTTCTCATAAGTTTTACTGCAAATAAACACATTTAATTTCCTTCTCCTAAAATCAACTCATATATTTCACTCATTTTCCAAACCCACTCAATGCGAGTGTGGTGAATATGGGAAACAAAATGGAACGGAACGCAGTTGAAAAGAACCGTAAATTGTCGACGAAATGCAGGCAACCCCCTTCCACCTTCCCAAAACAAAAACACAAAAAAAAATACACTCAACACACACACACTCTCTGACCACTCACCATGGCAACAACAAAAGCAACAAAATACCCAAAGAACTGTCAACAGCCGAAAACAAAATGACGAATTTATGAACTACTCTGCGCCATCTCTTTCGCTCCCGCTCCCTCTCATTTCCGCGTGTGAGCGAGATAGTCGAAACACTCAAATACCGCTCTCCACTCAACGGTCGTCAGTGGCTTTGTCTCGCTTGCACTCATGCAGCGCTTATGGCTTGCTTGCTGGCTGGCCGGTTTGAGTGCATGGGAATGTGTTCGAATTGGAAAATGGAAAGGGAATTGGGAAACAGGGAATGGGAAATGGAAATGAGTTATATGCCTTGGCATCGCTGCTGACGTCGACGTTGCTGCTAGCTGCATGGGAATGCGCTAGCGTTTGTATGACCATCTCGCTTACACACTCATATCACTCAAATTGTCATAATTGAAAAATGTCATGTTGTTGTTGTTGTTATTCCTTCTTTGCGGCTTAACGTGCGGTTGGATTACGTGACGTAAGGGTTGAAGTGACGTAAGGTATATTTTTGTTGTGTTTTAAGGGAAATATATTAATAAAAAGAATTAAATTTAGTAAATTGTAAAATTTGTTTACGGAAAATTCTTACGTTTAGGCTACGTGATTCGGTCTGGAAAACCCTTTAATACGTCACAACGTAAGCAATATCAGCTGTTGTTGTTTCTGTGTTTTGGGGGTCAGTCGACGTCGCGCCTCTGCCAACGTCGCTGCTAGCGTCTCCGTAAGCTTCGCCATAGTTGTTGCTTTTGTTGTTGATTTTTGCGTTGCGTTTTTGCTTTTTGTTTGTGTTGTGTTTTTTGTTTTCTTTCGATTTTGGCTTTGGCTTTGGCGCTTTTGGCGTTTTACATGGCGAAAAGCGAATTGGGATTCATTCAATGGTCAGCTGCGTGACTGTGAAGCAGCGACGGCGCTCCGGCATTTCTATCTCTCTTTTTCCCTTATTCATAAATCCCGGCGAGAAAAATACGGAAAATACGGCGAAATACGAAGATAAAAGTACGGATGTTAAAAACAAACGAAAAAGTCGTCCAAGCAAAAGTGTTTCGAGATAAAGAAATACATGCAAATGTGGTATTAAATAAATTACAAAAAAGGTTAATAAAAGCTAAAATTCAAAAACTTCAAAATGTTGACAAAATATACAATTTTAAATTATTATTTCAACGAATTTATTACGATATTAATAATATATTAAAACAAATTCAAAATTAACTTAAATCAATGTTGTTTACAAGCCTAAGAAAGTGTTTATCACAAATTTCAAACATCTTTGTTTTTAATCAACATATTAAGCTTTAAACAATGATCAAAGTATTTAAATTTGCATTCAATAAAAAAAAGAAATTTAGTATTTAGAATATTTCATATATATAATTATAAGCCTCGAAAAAGTGATATGAAAAGGCTTTAATGTAAAATTCCGTTTTAAACTGGAATATTTCCTAACTTGCTGGCTTATTTAGGCGAAATATACAACAAATTCCAAAGTTATTATGGAAAACATTCAAAATATTATTAGCTTGGCGTGAATTTGATACAAAAAGCTCTGGGAGTAAAATTGAAAGATAGTAGACCCAAAGATAATAAAATAACTAAAATAAACCCAAATTCTCTTCACCAAACTAAAGATCTTTTAAAACCAACCTTCTAACAGTTAAATCCACACCTTAAAATGTTATGAAAACACAGAGAAATCAAACACAACTCTACCCAAAATATATCTCAAAAATCTCAAAAATCCGAAAAAAGGGAGAAAATACAAACAAGTATCGGCTGCAAAATGCTTTTGAGCAATCAACCGGCAAACACGAAACCCCAACAGCAAACGCAGCCTTCGTCGCCGTCGCAGAACTTCAAGTCGAAGCTTCAGCAACAAATTGCGAGCATTGCCAACGGGGGCAGCTCTCATCATCATCATCATCAGCATCATCAGAACCACCACCAGCATCATAATCATCACCATCATCCGCTGGACAATCATAATCATCATCATCATCAGGCGCAGCATCAGCACAACATTTCCTTCGCCACGGATTTCTCAATTGCCGCGATTATGGCGCGCGGCGGAAACGCCCCAAGCAGCCGGGAACCTTCAGAGCGAAGTCTGAGTGAGTAAAGTAATTCCAGCATCCCCTAATATCTCCCCAAAAAAACACAAATCTGAAGATAACTAGACACAATATTAATAAATAGAAATTGGCAGAGATATTTCCCCTTTTTCGTATGAGGTTTTTAGGTTAATTTTTGGTTATAGAATGGTATGGAAAATACTTGGAAAGGTTGTTTAAATGTAAACTGAGGGATTACTTATAGATAAGCTAATTTTTTACAGAATTTAGAGCTTCTATAAATAATAATATTTAAAAATTAAAATTGACATATCTTGAACCTAAGAAGAGCTATTAAATATTATAATAATTATAGGTTATATACGTAGGTTAGTCTGTGGGAGATTCATAACTTAATTCCTTATAAATTTGTTATTAATAATAAGAAATTAAAATGTCATAAACCTTTCACAGTATTTTACCTGTACTGCCTAAAATAATATTTATTTACCTTAACAACATTTATATATCATATTTTCAACTTAAGGCTTTATCTGGTAATCGAAATTAATTTTTTAAATGCGACACCTGATCATTTATAAAGACTAAACCTTAAATTGATTGCTATATGGCTGACTTGATAATTATTTACTTGATTAAGGCATTATACAAAAATTATTAATTAAAAATTTATTTATAAAACAAATACCAATCAAATCAATTATTACTAAAAGATTTTGACACATTATTCTATTTATATTCAAAAGCAAAACCCCAGAAACAAATTTCCTATCTAATTTATGACTTGAAAAGCAAATCTTCAAGTATTTAAAGCAATGAAAATACTATATAGTAGTAGTAATAACTAATTTGTTTTGCCAGATAATCCTAGATTATAATACATTTATATATTCGTTTTGAATAAAAAACTGGGTTAAATACAAGGCAAAGTAGTAAAACAATACGTATAGTTTTCCCTGAGGAAAGCCCCAGCTACCATATTTCCCAGCCTGCTGACGCATAGAAAAAACTCAATTAATCGATTGCTTAATACTCATACTCAGTGTCGCAGCTGCATTATATTTCTATATTATTCCGTATACCGTTTTTTCAACCATTTTTCCTGCTGTATATAAATTATATATTGATGACAATGCAACGTTGATGACTTGATAATTGCGGCAAATGCGCGGCAATAAAATAATCAAAGCCTATTTGAATTCACGCGGCGGTGAGTGGCAGGGCGGGGTGGTATTTCAGTACATGACATCGAGCCAGATATGTATAGATATATATATATATAGCGTATATAGTACGTGAATGCAAAACTATTTAGATGCCATAATTGGGTAGAGACAGAGGCGCAAGCAAATGCATTCATTTCGCAAACACACAGAGACACGCGCGAGAAATTAACATATGAAATTGCATTTTGTGCAAATAATTGAATTTTTTGGCATTATCTGTAAAATGCATCTGGTCGTGAACTGAATTCGCGTTGTTCTCTGTGTTGCTGTGGCTGTAACGACTCATCAGCGGCAACATGCAACATGTTGCAGGCAGCAGGCAGCAACTCCCACATATTAACTGGGCTACACTTTGATGTCTCTCTCTCGGTGTCTCATCTATAAACACTGAGAGATTAAATGGGTATTGAATAGGAAAGGAAACTAACTTCGGAAAGACGAATTTTATATATACTTTTTTGAAAAATCAAAGTTAAAAAACTCATAAATAAGTCAAAAATACATTCATTTTAATTCGGAAAACTGCTCTATGCTAGTATTTATTAGGTTAAAAAATCTGCATACTCAATTTATAATTTTTAAAAATATAAATTTTTGCCAATTCTTGACAATTTTAAAGATGTAAATTGAAACCTAAAAACATTGTGAAAAAATCAAAAAATATTTTTTTCTCTCTGGCATAGCTAGATTGATTCCCCTGTTAATGCTGATCAAGAATATATATGCTTTATAGGGAAATAACTCGAAATAACTCCTTCACTGCTTTATAAGATTCTGACTTAAATTATAAACCCTTGTTAATGTATAAAAATAGGAGGTATACATTAAAACTATTTCATATTAATTTTATATAAGCTACAGAAATAGGTCGAATTTTAAATAGAAAACAAATAAGTAGGTCTTAACATATAAGGAAACGTATTTAAGATTATCATGACTTGAATTTCGTATCCCTTTAATAATTAAATTCAAAATGATCATAGGAATATACTTTAGTTTCATTCATATCTAAAATGTATCCCCTATTTTTCTCCCCGTGCAGGTCCCGCATCATTGGAGCGTTATTCCGGCCAGGATGCGGACGATGATGTGGATGTTGACGTTGATGTGGTCGACTGTAGTGACACGGAAACGCCGACGGCAACATCAGCAGCGGCAGCAGCAACTGCAACGGCAGCGGCGGCTGCAGCAGCTGCAGCAGCATTGCAGGCGCAGCAGCAAGCGCGTCAGGCGTTGCGTGTTGCACAGCAACAACATCAGCAGCAGCAGCAGCAGCAGCAGCAGCAACAAAGGCAACAGACACATCACCAGGCAACAGCAAACAAGCAACAACGCCAACATCACAATCATCACAACAGCAGCAGCAGCAGCAACAACAGCAGCAACAACAACAGCAACAACTCGAGCAGCAACAATAACAAGTCAAGCGGACATCGAGGGCGTTCAGTTGGTGCAGTTGGAGGCACTGCCACGCCCTCGCCGCCACCGCCACCGCCCTCACAGAGTCCCGAGGAAAACGAACGCCTGTCGCCAGAGGAATCGCCAGCGCAGGTAACCACATAAACCAGACACTTGGGGAAATGTATTGTATTTAAAAGAAGAGATGTTTATTTAATATTTAAAGAATTAAATTTAATTTAATATTTAAAGAATTAAATAAAAATCTCCCTTTTAAATCAGTGGCCTTTAAAGGAAACCCTAATTAAATAATCCTTCTATAGACATTGATTTTATATCTATGAATATTTCTTTCTGTGCACTCCAAAGAATTGCACCTCTCCTTGAACCATTTTTTTACTAAAAATCTTCTCTTAATTCTCTCCTTAATTTTTTCTTTTTTTCCCTAATGACCACGCCCACAGCAGCCCACGCCCAAGATAGTGGGCTCTTGCAACTGCGACGATCTCACGCCCGTTCAGTGCCACCTGGAGACCAAGGAGCTGTGGGATAAGTTCCATGAATTGGGCACTGAAATGATCATTACCAAATCGGGCAGGTGAGTAGAGACATGGGGGAATAATAAAAAAAAACCATAAATACATAAATTACATAGTCTTACCACTAAGTGAGTGGGTTTCAAAACAAAAAATTATATATAGAAAATGATATTTTGCATGCCCTGATGCATCCATGAATACTTAAGTCGCAAAAAGTATAACTTTGTGGTAGGCTTTTTAATGATAAAAGACATGTAAAGCAGTCAGAGACTTATCATTATGATACATTATAAATTAAAGCAACTAAAGATGCTTAATTATTTCCTCAAACAAATATTCTTGTCAAAGAGTACAACTTAGTCCCTAAGAGAAGTTTATACAACTTTCCAACTGCAACTCCCTCTTGTACCGATTATTACCCAAGCAATTTGTGATATTCACTTATCGATTGAAAGATATTTTCCGATAATCGATCACATTTGTGTTTGCCAAATCCCCGGGCAATGCACTTTGTGCAGTTTTATTTCATTAGACTTTCGTTGGAATTCAATTTGACAAAGGCCTTTTGGCCTCCCTCCAGGTAAACCAAAACAATAAAACAACAAAAAACCTATTGAAGGGGAGTGGCATGGGGGCAGTCTGGGTCATAATCATAATGACGCCCCCCTTCGGGGTATCGGCCACCAATCAAGCCCACGACGAATAGTCCTCCAACGGCAACAATAATCAATATAAAACTTTAATGCGCCTTTCACCCATCGACTATCCAAAAACGACTACCGGCCACGCCCCCATTAACGCCCCTCTCCTCTGAAGCTCTTAACTGGAAAATATCAACAACTTTTCGGTTAGTTCTCCTCATTTACATTCCCATTCAATATATTTATTTTGTGTATTTGATTGACAAGGCATCGAAATAATTTGCCGTCGATTTTCGATTAGCAGAAAAGCACAACCAAAAAACACCTCGTTTCGTCAGCTGTTTTTTTTTGGCTAAAAAAGCACCTGAGCACGTAAAGAAATACCGGGTTAAACGACTTTTCATTCGCAACTCAACAAAAGTTGAAGAAATTATTGCTTGACGATATATTTTCTATAGGATTCTAGGGCGGGTAATAAAGGGGGTCCTTTCGAAACAACAGGAAACATAAAAGTTTCTTTAGGGGGGTAGAGAAAAACAGAGAGAACTTTTTGTATTTTGAGTTTCTTTTTGTTTTATTTGCCTTCTTTTCTTCTGTTTCACCAATAACATGCGAAATGCGCATTAGTCGCTAGGTGGTAGTTAGGATCTGTATCCTTGTATCCCTGTCTACCATTATCCTTGTTTTGTTTATTTTTGAAGCTTTTTTGGTTGGTTTTTTGTAGAGTTAAGGAAAGTAATGGCATTTTGATAAAGAAATTTAAATATTAAAAAATATTTTAAAGTATTTTAAATAATTTATAGGAGCTATTGAAACTTTTAAAAAAAGAGTGTTCAAAATATTTTAAAAATATATTGTGCTTAAGGGTATGGTAACTTTTTTATTCTCAGGGGAAACCCTATTTTGCATATTCCTTAAAATTTAAAATTTTAATAAAATGCCTGTAAATAATTAATAATTTTCATATATTATGTAAAAAAATATTTGGAAAAATTAATATAATATTAATTTCAGCTAGTGAATAAATTGCAATCTGTGCCAAAAGTTAAATTTATATTCCAAAATTTATTCACTTTAATGCTTACACTTATTCCCTATAATTATATATTATTTATATATGATTTCCCTTAAACTGAGTATCAAAAAGTCGACTCTCAAGGCCCCTAATGCGTTCATATTTTTTTATGTTTTTACCCGCATTTTGTTATTTTTTTTTTCTGACATCTTTAGTTTTGTTTGGCTTTAGTGTTGCCTTAAACCCTTTCACTGGCCGCCAACAGTTGGCCCCCGAAAAAAGGAGGAGAAATATCTAACTTTTTTATGCCACCCACTCGCTTCTCCCCGCTGTGCGCATTTACGACACATTAACAAATTTACTCCTTTCCCTGCCTGGTGACTTCCTTCCCCTCACAAGAAATCCTCACAAAGTATAAATTGCAATGTAATAGCTGCCGATTGTCGCGCTAACAACGCATTTGCATGTCCTTTGGCCTTTGGACCCATTTGTGTTCGTGTTTTTTTTTGCGTTTCTGTTTTTGTTTTCCTGTATTTTTGCCCTGTAATTAGTGAAAGGATACCGATGAGCGGCCAACACTTATTTACATTTGTGCTGGTTTGACGAACGCATGCAACACAATTGCAAAAATAATAAAAAAAACAGAAGGAAAGGTTGAAAAAATACAGGAGCAGCAGTGGCATTATAATTCGCATTCCCTGGCCGATATCCATCTATGTCAGCACATCGTTTGCTAGCTAAATATGTTCACGAAAACAAAAAAAATATAGGGGCGGCAACACCAAGTGGGTGTGGCAATGCGGGACTCTGTTTTTTTATTTGTTTGTTTGTAGGTTTTTTGTGTGACTGATATATTTTAAATTGCAAAAATATGCCAGTAAAGTCAAAAGAATGGCATGTCTTGGTGCATTTTGTTATGGGGAATGGTGCCTTAAGTAAGGTAACTTTAAAGAAATGTGAGTTAAAAAGAAATTATACAGAAAAAGGTGACATAAAAATATAAAATTATAAAGGTTTTCAGTACTAAAAGAAATGTTTAAGGGTTTTTTAGGGTTTCTCTTAGACTTACTTCCATTTCCAGACTTGTAATTATTCTCTAATTTAGTAATAAGTTCCCTAAGAATATAGACTCCTTTTCAATGTCTTAACCTCACTAAAAGGTATTTTAGGTTTACTTTAACACTCCCCCCACTTTAAATACTACTCTTTCCCTAATAAAACCACAAGTTTTCCCCCTTTTTCCGCTGCACTGTGAAAATGTGGCCTCCACATGCAAATGCGCATGCGTGGCTCTCATCAGAACGAAACCATGAAAAGCGGACAAAAACTGCTTCAAATTGCCAACTCACACACAAAAAGTGACGACTTTTGAGGATGATTTACAACCAAAGACAAAAACCAAGAGCTAGACATTTTTTTTTACCTGTTACGTGGTCTCAGGTTAGTGGGATTCTGGCCTTTGTTCTGCGGTTGTTGAAATAAAATATCACGTGGTTTGCGATTTTGTCACGCTGTCAGCGGTTTTGAGGTTGGCATTTTCCTCGAGAGAGCAACAGAGTGAAAAACAAAAGGCCGGAAAAGTCAGCCAGCAGTTTGAAAAGGCGGGCTAATTGTTTTGACTCTCTGTTGGAGAATACCCGGGAGTTTGTCAATATTTTGCGACAAACTCTTCACGCATATTAAGACCGTGGATTCCGTTGCCGCTGCAGGACATTCGAGGACAGTAGCCTGGCAACGAAGGATGCATGGCAATTGCAATTTTCACGGTGCAACCCCTTGCAGGCCAAGTAAATATTTCCCCCTCTCTCTCTGTCTCGATTTTCCACAACTTTATTAATAGAGGCCAAGAGGCAGCTGATCTGGGCCAAGTCCAGGGATCATTTATCAGCTGGAAATGGTCATTGGAACAAGTTAATCTACCCTTCTGAAAGGAAGGAAAAAGGTGCACTGGGCCTGAATTATGAATTAATCAACTAATAAAAGATAGCCAAAACTGGGGGGAGTGTTGTCAGCCGGCGATAAGATCAAAGTTATATATTTTTTTGGGTGTTGCTTTTTAGTTTCAGTTTGTTTTCTTGGCTCATCGTCGTCGTCGTTGTTACTAATTTGCATTTTATTAATTTAGACCTTGCGGCTTAATTTGCTGTAACAAAGGTGTTGATAATGAATTGGCCGTATATGCCAACATATTCCTAATTGAAAGCCAGCCAACCCCAAAGAAATACTACTATACATATACATTCTGGCCACGACTACGTTCAGGGCCCTGGCAAATGGTGTGTAAACTTCATAATTGTAACCTTTGGCACCTAAGCGCTCTGGCCAAAAAGGAAACTGAGTAAAAGCCATTTCCCTAATTTTCCCATAAACAAATACATAAAATCCACACTTAGAAGCTTTGCCTCGCGGGGCAAAAACTAAGCTCGAAAAAAATATATAAAAAAAAGTAGAACTGGGCAACAGTGTTGGGAGTGGCTGCCCTCGGGCAGCTCTTTCGGTCTCATAAAATGTATGTAAATGCTGGAATATGATTTATGACATTTCCGCCTATATGGCAGCGCAAAAAAAAAGAAAATATATAAAGTGCGGGGGCTGCTGCATTAGATGTGGCCCATAAAAACGGGGCGTGGCTGTTAGCCAGACTTTCACACATTTATGAGCAGCATTAGCAGGTCGCTATATGAACCCCCAAAAAGAAAAGTGATAAGTATTTGCAATACGAAAAGAAAAAGAGTTTCATTAAATCAAGAGCAAGGCAAAGTAATCGAAACAGAAAGTAGGACTTAAGGGTATAAAAGAAAATATCGATTTTTTTATGAGTAGAACGATAATAAATCGATTTTGCAAATATATCATTTTTGAAATAGGGAAAAACTTAGTTATTTAAGAATGCTTAAAATATAATCTGTAAGACAAATAAATTTAAAGGAATGAAACTTGTTTCCCCTTTTCTACTTATTTACAACTTCTTAACTTCCTTTCGTTACATTTCGCGGGTTAAAAACAAAATGGTAGCTTCCGGTAGTCCGCTTCCGTTTTGGGACCCCCAGTTAAGAAAGCGTTCTGTCAAGCTCGAGTGCAGCTACTATATAAAACAGAGTGTAGAGAGTATATATATACATTTATAGTCAGTTATCCGTGCAGATATCGAGATAAGCGGTACACGTTAAATGCCCGCTACAATGGTGCTAATTGCGGCATGCAACTCTTAAAAGTGCAGCACAAACTACAATTACAATTACAATTACATGTGGATTCGTTTTAGTCTCTGACTGCGACTGTGACTGACTGCAATAAATAGTATAGAACTCGGCCATAACAATCAGGGCCCAGATGTTATGGTGACACCCCTCTCCTCTCCCCAGTACAATAATGGCCTGTAAACATAACTCGAACAAACAAGACTCGTAATTTAAGTGAGTTAGAAAAGGTGCAAATGAAACTAGAAAGTAAATCTTCAATTAAACCAGCTTAGGTGGCTACAAAATGTATTTGCGTGATTGCCACAGGAAAGTCTCTGGAATTGGAATGTACATTTTCCAATTTGGTTCTGGGTATTACAATATATACAATTGCTACTCAAATTTAGAGTTTAGATTCTATCGAAATATATACAATTAGGGTTTGAATTTGGAGTATAGAAAACCTTTGCCAAAATATGAAATAATATCTACATATGAAAGTAGATTCTGGGGAAGAAGAACTTAATCCATCTCCGACTGCAGCTTCTCAACTTGCTCTTGAATGGCTTGGCGAAGTACCTCCAGAGTGGTTGCATCCATCTCTTTGGTCAGGGCAAGGGTTGCCATCAAAAGTCTGGCATTCTTATCCCTATTTTGCTGTTCCGGGAGTTCCATTTTATTGGAATCCTCGGGATACAATCGGGAAATTGCATCCCTGAGCTCCTGCTCCTGGCTTAAGGTAACTGCATTAGCACATTCAGCGGCTGAAGCAATGTCCTTGTCTTTGGTTGTTGTTTTGGTTGTTGGTTTTTCTTTCCAGAGATTTTTGTGGGGAAAACCGTGGTGGACAGTAAATTTAAGCACCAAGGAACCGGTGTTACCCTTCAATGATAACATGGAATTTCTGCCAGAAGCTCCCTGGATTCTTCTATTAGTTCTTTTTGTTGGTATGACCCTTTGAATGGCTCTGACAGGAGCAGTCTGTGAAGGAGCTGCTACATCCACCGAGTTCTTGAACTCTTGCTCATCTTGATAATCCAGATTCTCAAGATCAGTATCCTGAATTCTTGCTCTTCAAATACTTTATGCCGCTCCTCATCGGTGATTTCAATGTCATCCAATGTTATAAGCTGCGGCAACATGTGTAGGACACTAATTCTATACTTATCGCCGGCAGCCAACGCACAGGGATTTCCTCTCAGGGAGAGTAAGGTCAAAGATTTCGCATCCTTTAGATAATTCAGTTCTTCGAAGCTTTCAATTTGGTTATTTAGCAAATAAAGCTGCTTTAGACTATGACAATTTTTAAGGGCTCGCAGTGAGCTGATCTGATTATTACCGAGTGCCAGGACCTCTATAAATGGGATCTGAAGGAGAAGACTTACATCAGTAAGCTGATTACCCCATAGATTGAGTTGTTTTATGTTTTGAATGTCGAATACATTGGCCTTACTCTTGGCAAGAAATTCTGTTAGCTTCATAGTGAAGATTTTCTTATAAAAATTATAAAAATGAAAGTAATAATATAGAGAGTTTCAAGAAAATTTGGAAAGTTATGTGGCGCTGGAGTTTTGATGTGTGATCTCTGCTTTGAGATATGTTTTACTAGTGCTGCTTTTTGCAAAGCCTACTTTCAAACAAAATGTATTTGTAAAATTCTCAACACTTACTCTTATAAAAGGCTAAAGTTCTAGCTTAATAATAACATTTGCCTAAACAAATGTTGCACAATAATTTCCCAAAGCAACTGAAAGCGAATCAATTATAATTAACCCAACACAACAACATGATACAGTATTCTTTCGCTTAAGGCAAATGACAAACAAAAAACTGGGGCTGGGTCATTAGCGTCATTTACACTTACCTGCGACCACAGAAAATGGAAAGAGTTTTCCCTTTTTTGTTCTATGGGAGGTAAGGGGATGGGAGGCACACCCCTTGGAACGCCCGCTGAGTGAATGTCCTGCGTTCAGGACGACGACATTGCTTGCGGAAATGTGTCAAAAACGTGCTAAAAGTCATAAAATTAAATATGCGTCTTATTTACATACACTGCCACCAAGCCACCTCACCACCTTGTTTTTTATTTTCTTGTTTTTTTGTTACCACAACACAATGGCGGGCAATAAAAAGAAAAATAGTTCACGATTTTCCTATGGTTTGTGCGTTTGGGGTACTTATTTGACACACTTTTGATATATAGAAAAATGTATGCGTTAGGAGACCTAGATCGAGGATTAGTTTAAATAAATATAAATTTAAGTAGAAAAATATACTCATTACCTATTAAGCACACAATTTCTAAGGTTGTCAAACAGATAAAAAATGTAGGAGAGGTCTTGACAAGATTCTTGTAAAGGTGTTTTAAAATATATTTTAAATATTGAATATTCCTTTTAAATTTCAATCTCTTGTATGTTTTATTTCCTATCTCTTTTTAGACGCATGTTTCCCACCGTTCGTGTTAGTTTTTCGGGTCCTTTGAGGCAGATTCAACCGCCGGATCGGTATGCCGTCCTCCTGGATATTGTGCCACTGGATTCGCGACGTTACCGCTATGCCTACCATCGGAGCTCATGGCTGGTGGCCGGAAAAGCGGATCCACCGCCTCCTGCCCGGATCTATCCCATCCGGATAGTCCCATCAGTCCGGAGGCATTGCGAAAACAGGTCGTGTCCTTCGAGAAGGTGAAGTTGACAAACAACGAGATGGACAAGAGCGGACAGGTGAGTTCAGGCTTCACATTTTCACAAGAGAGGGCGGAAAACTAATGGTTAAAGTAGGAAAATCTATAGAGAAATATCTAAGAGAGAGGCTTTCCGAAGTTTGTGATATTTGAAACTCAAATGCAGCAGAAGACATTTAAAAAACCGAAAGAAAAAATCAAACCCAAAGTCAACTGTGTTTTCAGACTCATTTTCAAGCAAAACATCAACGTTTTTCTCCAATTTATGCCGCGCTTTTGAGCCATCTCAAAAGTTGGTTATGAATAATTTAGGCCCAGAGACAAACACATAAACTGGCGGCATTGTCTTGCACTTGGCCCAGGACGAAGGACTCGAAATTCAGTGGGTTCAAACGGGTTCAGTTGAAGTTGCCAAGAAAAGGAAATGCACATATGCAAATGGCATTGGGCCTGGGCTCGCACAAAATGAATGAAAATTGTTGGCAATTTGGTGGCAACAGCGAGAGATCCTGCTACCGGCTACCGTATTTATTTTTTTTTTTTATCACAGTCATAAAGGATGTGGATGGATGCGAGGACAGTCAAAACAACCGTCGACTACTTTTTTATGGGCGTACATTTTTTATAAGGCCGGGGCATCACAACAACAACAACAACAACAACAAAACGTTTCGCATTCGAGGAATTTCCACTTCAAATTTCCTTTCCACTTGCAGGTCGTGTTGAACTCAATGCATCGCTACCAGCCCAGGATCCACTTGGTGAGGCTCAGCCATGGCCAGAGCATACCCGGCAATCCCAAGGAGCTGCAGGATATGGACCATAAAACCTTCGTTTTCCCGGAGACCGTATTCACGGCCGTGACGGCCTATCAGAATCAATTGATTACGAAACTGAAAATCGATTCGAATCCGTTTGCAAAGGGATTTCGCGATTCGTCGCGTCTCACCGACTTTGATAGGTAAGTTCCTCGTCCCTCGCCCCCAAAACTCAGGCTCAGACATCCTCTCCAGATAGTTTGCTCCCGTTTTCACTGTTTATGGGGTCATGTCTGATTTATGACCTAATTTATGATGCCCTCTGCTTTGAGTTGTAAATGCGATTCGGTAGCCAGAATCAGGGGCACTCGGAGAGGTTGCTCTGATTAGCGAAAATGTGTGAAAGTGTCGGTTGGATGCCAATCCCGGCAGCAACTTCAATTAGCAGAGCAACGTGCAGGAGTGCTGATTGATGGGATCAAGAGGAGTAGTTATATATATATATATATTTATATAGATCGATGTTGGTCAGAGTCCTCTGAGAATTTCTGACATAAAAAAAAGCTACAGTTCCCTTAAAATAACATATTGGAACATTAAACATATAATAGTCATAATATTGTTAATTATCTACATCCAACTTCAGTTATTAAGTTAGATAATACCCTTCTTGGGAATAATTACCCACAATACATACACTTCCCTATACATTTGATCCACATTCGATCTCTAAAACGTATTGCCACTCAATTAAGCTCTGGAAAAAGTTGAAGAACTTTAGTGTTTTGGTGTTGCTTGATGTTTTTGGCCAAGAACCCGATGAGCAACTTGTTGGCTGCCGCCACTTCAGTCGGGGCAATAACATAATTACGTTGAAAGTAACTGCCAATTGCCGACACTAAACAACAGGAACAACAACAAGAGCCACACATTCACTCATTATTTTCGTGTTTTCATTTCATGTACGAATCGGCATCAAAGTTAAAAGCGCCGATCTGTAATTTACGCCACTTAAGCCGCCGCCGTGCCGGCTACAAAAGCAACATTGCTCTTTGAGTTGCTGCTGTTGCTGTTGCTGTTGCTGCTGCTGCTATGTTGCTCATGTTGCTCATGTTGCTCGTGTTGCTGTTGCTGGCGGCAGAGCATTTGCTGTCTTAATAGTCGCTGCAATACTTTGAAGTTTGCTGTCGAAAAAAGGGCAGCGACAGCAGCCCTCGAAAAAAAGCTAAAAAAAATATAGCCTGAGGCATGATCCTGTCGGGAGTTAGGGCAACATGTTGCAGTTGCTGCTTGTCAGACAACATGTTGCAGCAACCAAGGGAGATATATTTAGAGAGTATTTTAAATTAAACAAATATTTAAACAAAATAACATCAAATAAATACCAAATCTTATTTTTTAAATGTTTAAAAACATAATTTCCTTATTAATTTAGTAGCAACAGATTTATATGCTTCCCAATTTGCTATAAAAATTTTTTTTAACAGATAAGTCTCCTTTTAACTCACAACCCTGCCTATATCTTATTCCAGAGATCCCATGGATGCCTTCTTTTTCGACCAGCATATGCGAGCAGCTCCTCTGCGCTTTTTCCCTGATCCTTTGATGGCCCAACTGACGCCCCAAGAGGCAGATGCCGCCTCCTTGGCACTCCTGGAGAAGGCTCGCCAGCACTTGCAAATGTTCGGACGATCCCCATACACGGAAATGTTGCTGCCGCATTTGTATCAGCGATCGGCGGCGCCACCGCCACCACCACCTGCTCCCCACCTAAGCGCCTTTCAGCTGGGAATGTGGCAGCAACAGTGGCCACAGTTAACGGCTGGGTTTTTGGCCAGTGCCAATCAACAGGCAGCCTTGGCCTTGGCGGCGGCGGGTCAGGCCAATAGGACACCACCACCGCCACCAACGGCAGTGGCACCACCGGCACCTGCCACGCCCACATCCTCGTGCGGTTCGGCATCACCGGATCTAAGGATTAGGCCCCAGTTGGGACACTATCCCCAACGTTTCAGTCCTTATCAGGTGCCGCAACATCAGGCCTCACCACCAACCTCGAATCGGGCAGAGAGTCCTTAGGAAACAACACAATAATAACTAAACCACCCAAGAGAAATAACATAAAATCCCTATTGAGCCCCACCCCAAGGATATGGCGATGTGGTCCTTGAATTTATGATAATTAAAATGCAATTTTATTCTATTTTAGAAGCTTTTAAAAATAAATTTCAATGCCTCTTTTAGATTTTATAGTTAATAACTAACACAGAAATTGTATTTATTTAATGTTAAATTAAATTCAAAGGATTCAAGGACCACATGGGTATATCATGCGAAATGTATGTGCAATGTTGTTGGAAGAAATGAAATAATAATAGTAATATCCATTATGCCCCCTGTAAATAACATCCAAAGATACACATTCAATGTTGCATGTGATGCTAAGGATAGTAAACCGTATCCACCGGTTTCACTGTATTGTAATTTCTCGTAGCATTATAACAGTATTAGTTAATTTAATTAGGCCTAGGCAATAATATGCAAAAAACAAAAAAACTATTCCCCAAAAAACTATCCCCCACTTCAAGTATTTTGCTGTGTATTTTTTGTTTTTCGTTGTCAAAATGTGTGTTCCTAAAACTGCAAATTATTGTGAGAATTCCACGCTGAATTAAATCCACCCCCCTTAGACACTCCCCATTCCCCCGCGTAAAACAATTACTATTAAACACTTATTTAAATCATGTGCAAAAAGATAAATAAATGAAAGATAAAAAGAGTGAAGGAGCGAAACTGAATAAACAATTTATAACACAGAGCGTGCAATTTATTTGTTTGTAATTTATTAAAAACTAGTGTTTTTGGTTTATTTTTCTTTTTGCAAAGCAAACTGCCAACATGCAATGGCGTTGGACAATAAATGTTTTTCAAAAAAAATATGGCCAACGATTAATAAAGTCAGGGCTTGTTGCCGCTGATGGCTGGGCTGCAATGGCAGTTGCAACCTGCAGCAGCAACATCAGCAGCAGCAACATCACCAGCGGCAGCAGCAGCAGCAGCAGCACGTGATGCGCAGTCGCGCATGGCCACACTGACATTTGAGCGGAGGGCTATGAAATATAATTTATAGAATTTTGTGCTCTTTACGAACGTCTAATTAATTACTAGTCCATGTTTTAGTTGCTGCTGCTGCCGCTGCTGCTGTCGAAAGGGTTGCATGCTGCAGCAGTTGCACGCGACATGCGTCATCAATTTCTAATGATGTATGTCTGCTCCATGGACGTTTGTTATTAATTTCAGTTGCCCGACTCTTACACGGCCATTAACATTATAAAGTGTTGTTTATTAATACAACAACAACAACAAAAATTAAGGGGTTTTTTCACATGGCACACAGATAAAGGTAATGTTGTGAATGGGAATTTGAGTGAACTTTAACAAGGGAACAGTTTGGGAAATAAATTATTCATTAAACATTATGTTTACCTAACTACAATTAATTTGAATAAATATTTACGCGAGAAATTAAAGTGATCCAAAGTCAAGTCTTCTAAATGTATTAATATTAATTTAAGAACACCATTAGCTTTTAACATTCCCCACTCCCAGCAAAGCCAAACATGGTTACAATACTTAATAACTTAATTTTGTGGCCCATAGGCCATGGGCGGCATATTGTACAAAAATTTACAAAGAGGGTCAGAAGCAAGAGCTTGACTGGCAGGCAACATTTAAATATGGCTTACATAAACCCAGACAGCTGAGGCCTTTTTACCTAACCGATAACTAACCAATAATTATATACTTTGAAGCTTACAATTAAAAAATCGTTTTTGAGCCAAACGAGGCAAAGTTAATTTTCTTCTTTCGGCCACTTTCCAAATGTCTTAATTAACAGAGTTCACATACCAGGTGCCTGGGCGTTTAGGAAAACTGTGAGAAAATGTCATATTGTTATGAAAAATAAATATATTGAAGTTTTTTCCCAACTATAATAACAAGTTTTACGAGGTTTTGTATTGGCAGTTCGATTGGTTAATTACAGGGGTGAGAAATATAATTAAAGAGTGATTTTGGTTAAGGTTTGGGTTTGGTTTTTAGGGAAAGGACTCAGGGTAGTCAAAAATATTTTTTAAAAATCTACCCCACTTCGTTTCTTTAATATATTCCTGCTATGAGCCATAAAAACGTTGTTATCTTCCCTGGCAAAGCGTTAAAAATTGTGTATTCCCATTGTAAACATAGAAAAAGGCTAAGCATTTTGGGTTAGTCCTTAAAATTTTCTCACTCACTGCGACAAAGTCGTACACAAATTATCTCGCCACTAAAAATTTGCCTAATTTCCAACATAAATATAGAAGGAGACTTATCTCAAGCGACCGATCTGGCAGGCAGGCGGCACATCCTTAACATTTCTCTTGACTAATTTTTTGTGTTTTTCGGGGCACGGGACAGGAGCCAAATAAAAAACACCCCCAGAAAATACAAGGATGAGTCCTGGTATCTTGACCAGGCGCTAACAAATTTATGTCTTCTTTGGGCTTGAAAACATGAAAGGTGCTAGGCGAGGGTGAAAGTCGAGTCAAGGGAAAACCTACACAGGAAAACACACACACACCGAAAAAAAGGTAAAAGGTAAAGGTAAGACCCCGCTTAGCTCATTACACCCAATTTGCAGTTAGGTGCGAGCATATAAATTCCTGTGGTAACCTTATCAAAAATTATGTTTACCTTTATCTAAATTATCATTTTTGTGCAGCAGATAAAGTGTGACTCTTGCTATGGATTTATTTCTAGTAGATTTCTTTTGAAATTCATTTATTTAAAAACAATAATTACCTCTCTTGTTCATGACTCTAAAAATATATATCGTGATCCACTTATTTTTGCAACCTTTTAAATACCTTAACAATATATATTATAATTACTGACCAACCTAAGTACTTCTTAATAACCAAAAATGAGCTTTAGAAAGCCAAACTAGCTGGCATTATTGGGTCGCAGGCGAGGCCTGTTTAATTATGGTAATTTGATTGCATATACACACACTTTTGTATTTAAAAGGCACTTTTTAACAAGAGCCGCAGAGTGGAGTGTGGAGAAATTAATTTCACGACACAGAAATGTGCCAAAGGCCTCTTTTGGCCTGGGTCTGGGTCTGGGCCTGGCCAACAACAAGCGAAGCCTACATCACACTTCAACACAATCGGGCAATTTCATCGAATGCCATGGCGAAAAGGGGGATTGAGTTCAGAGTGGTGTTGGTGTGGTGTTGTTGTGTCTGGATGATGGCCCCAATTGCATTTCACGTTCCGCCAGTGAAAATATCCCACCTCCTACCAGTAAAATCCTGCAATCCTGCAGGAAGGCAGGCAGGCAGGCAGGCATGCATGTTGTGCTTGTGTCTGTCTTTGTCTGCATATTGAAAATTTGCATGTTTAAGCATATCCTTGCCAACAATTTCCAGGCTGGACACACTAACTACATGTGCTATATACTTTGTATCCTATATGTATATATTTCTATATATATATCCAAGGGTACTCCGTGTCCGTCCGGGCAATGTTCCGGAAGTGCTCGCAGTTTAAAGCTTATCGCTGCAATTTAAGTTTGCTCCTGCCAGGGCTAAGAAATAGTGATACCCAAGGATTATGACCAGGTAAAGGTATGAATATTATAAGGTTTATATATATAAGAACTTTACATTTTATGGATTTAATAATATTAATTATTCATTCTAAAGATGTTAACCTTCTATTTATTACGAAATTTAATTTCCTAAAAGGTCCTGCTGTTTTAGTTTATTAATCATTATATTACCAAGATAATTGCATAATTTCTATCTTATAAAATACAAAACTATTTATTTCATATGAAAAATAGTTATTAATCCAATTTTTAATACTGATTAATGACCTATAATCAAAGCGGGCTCTCTATGATATAAATTTAAACCCTATAAACCCCCTAAATAACCCCTTAAATCCTTTAAAATTATATTATAACCCTAAAAAATTATAAAATCTATCCTCAAAGGGTAACAATTAAACCTCAACTCGTTGAACCCAAACCCATTTGGAGGAAAGCAATGCCATTGTAAATTAGTTTCGCAATTTCGTGCACGCTGCTGAATCGTTCAATGAACTTGCCGCAAAAGGAGGTTGTGCTTTTGAAAGGTTCATTAGCAGCTGTCAACCGGCTAATGAAGTGCCCAAGAAAAGATCCTCAAGATAATCGGGGAAAATACTGAAATATATATTATATGGGCTAACTGTTGCCAGCAAAATGAACTGCCTGCTGATTGATCTACTGAAGTCATCATCAATATCTGGGCAGGGAAAACTTGACTATTAATAAATGACAAGTCTGCATTAACAAATGCAATGAGGCTATGAAAAATGTACATTTCATTTGCAGCCAGATGCAAAAACACCAAGACACACACACACACACACTCTTAAGCGGCGAAAGTATCTGTCAGATACGAGTGTGTCTCTTTGGTGTTGACATTTGAGAAATTTGTAGCTCATCTTTTGCTGGCATATCTGGATGCCAGGCGGCGCACAGGCCAAAATCCAAGAACGGAGACAAAAACTTGCCACTAATTACAAGCAAAACCGAGAGAGACAAACACACACACCCAGCTTGAGTGGCACATTTGCACATGCGACCGCCCAGAATGAAATGTATCTTGCAGATACATCTGCTGCTGCTGCTCTGTCTGCCCCACCAACTTGGGGGAGGTTTCTGTGGGGGTGGCGTCAGCTGCAGTCGACTTAATTGCCAGGCTTATTCCGTTATTGGCTGTAATAAGATGTCAACGCTGCGGCAAAACCATTTTCCGCAATTCCAGAAAAACGGAAAATGTCTGAGAATTACGTGTATCTAAAGACCATGAGATAGAGGGTCAGAGAATATGATCTGAAACTATAAATACTTAGCTAAAAAAGGGTCTATAAAATGTATGATATGATAGAACTGTTTAAATATATTATATTTAAGCTATAAATATTTCAGTTCAATTTATTGAATGATTTTAAAATAATTGAAAGAAATATATATGTGCACATATTATAAATATTATCTATAGATAATTATTAAGAAAATGTAATGATTATATATGAGTTCTTACACAATTTATTTAAATATATATATTTAAATCTCATCTTTAGATTATATTAGTTATTTATAAATAATATTTATAGACATATTTAGCTTGAAATGTATTTTAAAATATTTTACTTTTAAAAGAAAAAAAACCTTGTAACTCTGTATTAATTTTTGTATTCTATGAATTTAATTTTATACAAATAAAAGCTAAAAAACTAACAAATTTACAAATGTACAAATCTGAATATATTTTTCTTTATCCAAATAAACCTTCTTTAAAAACCCTGCTTTATTTTTCCGATTTAATTTTTCTTATATTTTTTCTACCATATTTCTTTTCTTTATCACTTGCACACGCTTCAATGGGCCACGAAGTGATTTTAATGGTCGAAAGGTAAAAATAAAAAACTATATTTTCCATCATAAATTTTCCTAGATCATTTTTTTTCTTTAGTGGTCTTTGCGTTTTTCGTCGCCTTTACACATTTTTTTATGGCCTGTGAATTATGTGCGACGAAGCATGGAAAATAATAATCAAAATAATCAGCAAGCGAAAAAAAAGCCAAATAAAATTTAATATTAATCAGGTGCGAAATATGCGACAAGCAGATCAAAGTGAATAATATTTATATATTGTTTTGGGAATTGGAATATATGCAAATATTTTAATATATCAATATTTCACTTATACTTTTATTGTTTTGATTTTTCTTTACATTTAAAAAAGGTTTTTTCATTTATTTTAGTTAATTTATTCGAAAATATTTATATATAATACTTTTACACATTTTCAATAAAAGAATTACTAAATTTGTCTAAAATAAGTGAATATTGAATCATATTAGGTTTCATTTCCGATTCCCATACAGAAAACACTCTTTTTCTTTTTTCCCCAATTTTTAAACACTTGAAATTAACTAAAAAAATCCAAAAAATAAACCGTTGGAAAATCGTGAAAGAAAATTTCCATGCGAACGGCAACGACGACGAATGCGAAATGAAAGCGAAGGAGCAAAGAGAGCGCAGGAATTGAGAAAAGCCCCAGAAGACCACAACGGTGGGTTTTTTTTTTCGTTTTTTTTTGAGTGAGTGCAAAACTTGCTGGCGGCCATTTTGGCGGGGGGAAGGTCGAGGTGAGTGTGTGTGCGTGCGTGCAACAGAGAGAGAGAGAGCGACAGAGAGCGCCAAAGAAAGAGAGCGAGCCGCCGGTGAGCACTTCCAGTGAGAGGGGAAACTGAGTGCAAAATTTTTGAGTGCTAAAAAGCGGATGATTGAGGGCGTTGCTTGGCGAAAATGGCAGCAGAATGTTGAAAGCTCTCTAACTGCGGCGCACGCACTCCAACCTAAGGGGGAGAGAGCGACAGAGAGGGCAGGCTGCCAAATGAAAGAGAGGGTTCGATAAGGGGGGCCTGGTGGGAGGGTGGTCGCTGAAAGAGGGGTGGCCCAAAACAAGATGGTAGTTGCAGCAGCAGCAAGCAGGAAAGCAGACAAGTTGCAACTTGTCCGTAGCTTGTTAACAATTGCAGCACTCAAATAAATGAGCCACAAGGAGCTGCGATTGAGTGTGTGTGTGTGAGGTGGTATGTAATTGTGTGAGTGATTACACTGTGAAAAATAAGAGAATTACTCATAAATTAAGTTGCAAAATTAAAGTTGCGTTGAATTTATCGATGGAAAATATTGACAGTTTTAGAGTTTAGGTTATATTTAAGATTTTATTTGGAAATTAAGTGAATTTCAGGAAAATTCCCTAGTTTGAACTTTTATCATATATATTATATACTTAAAAATATTTTTTTTTTTTTTTAATAAAAATCAATTCTGGAGACTAGACTTTCTAGAAAATAATTATGCCGTTTTAAGATCATATTTCAAAGTGGGAGATAAATCGCTGTTACTGATACGTCAGCATGCATACATTTTATCTCAATTGTCGCAGCCTGTATGGCATTTTCTCTAGTACTGTCCATGATTTTAAATTTAAGGCCGCGCTTGACAATAATTGCGGCACCTCCATGAGCTCTATCTGACGGATGGTCAGCTCTTACTGTATCGTATCCAGTAATTTGAAAATAAGATTTGCTAGTGAAGTGTGTTTCTGAAATGAGCATGACGTCGATGGCATTTGTTTTTAAAAATAAAGTTATTTCATTTAAATGATTGGAAAGCCCGTTGGCATTCCATATTCCTAAGTTTAGATTTACTTGCATAACTTATTTACAAGTAACATTATCATGTTAAGTAAATTATTTGTTAGCTCGAATTGTTTCTCTAGAAGCTGTTCTATTTTTTCTAGAGACGCGTTCGAGACGCTATTTCCTGCAGCAACTTGAGCGTATGATTGGAAGTCTTTGGGTTGTTGTGTCGAATTACTAAACGGAGCAAATGATTGAGATGTACCAAGGTCATTTTTATTATTGTTATCTTTGGTGTTTTTCAGGTGGTTGAGTCCGCTTACAAATTTTTTGATATAAGTTCCTGATAGACTTTGCACCCTTTGTAGCTAGCAGCATGATCTTCTTTGCAGTTGGCACATTTTGCTGGTTGCTCTTTATCTTTTGGACAAATGTTGCTGGGGTGGTTAGAAGAACATTTCACGCACCTGTGAGTTTTGGCACAATATGACTTTGTGTGTCCAAATTCCTGGCATCGATAGCACTGAACGATCTCTTTAGTTTTGCGGGGAGGTTCTATGTTAACAACAGCGTTACCAATATATTTAACTTTGTAAATGTCTAAGTTCTTATTGTTGGGCTCAATATCTAAGAAGAACAGATTCAATGGCTCTTTAGTTACACGACTTTTGATATTGCTAATGTTTCTTACAGTGTGGCCTTTGGACTGTACATCTTGTTTAATTAAATCGATATCCGTAGAGAAGTGCAAGTTCTTAATAACGACTCTGAATGCCCTTTCTTGTTTAAGCTGGTATGTGTGGAATTTGACAAGGTCTGTAGTAAGGGTTTTAACAAGTTTCCTGTATTCTTCAATGGTCTTTACCATTACTCTCACATGACCATCGCGTTGTACTTTATAAAAGAAGAGCTCTTTTTAGTTTTAGACTCGAGATAAGCTAGCATTCCTTTAATATCGTTGACTTCAGATAGGAATATAGGTGGTGGCTTGGCAGATTCATCTAAGGTGTCTTCAGTTATTATATCCAGTGTTTCAGTTTCGTCTTCATTTCCGTTATTTGGCGTGCTGTCGCTTAGGAGAGAGAATTGATTGGTGCTGGTGCTGGGAGCAAAGTCCAGAGCGATTTTTTTCTTTAGCAATATTGGAGAGTCTTGATTTGGTCTCTTGATTGCCTTGGGTTTCGGTTTTACACTCTGCCAGCTCCAAACCTTTTTGTCGTCTTCGTCGTCGTTCATGGTAACAACAACACTTTCTTGATGCTTATCAGCAACCACTGATTTGTTTTGTTTTGTGTTTATAGTTGAATTTATTATTTTATTATTTATTTTTTTTTTTTTTTTTGTTTAGAGTTTGGAGAAGTAGACGTCAGCTCTTGACAGTAGAGGCAAAGCCAAGATTCTCAATAAAAGAACCGGATTTTAAAAACTTTTTCGAAAGACTGGGAACAAAGTTCATTGTGGGAGGCGACTTCAATGCCAAACATCCATGGTGGGGATCCAGACTGACAAACCCGAAAGGATCGGAGCTATACAAATGCATACGAAACAATAATATTACCACATTGTCAACTGGAAAGCCTACATACTGGCCAACAGATAATCAAAAAATTCCAGATCTAATGGACTTCGTAATATTCTCTGGAATTCCACAATCACACATGCGTGTAATGGAAAACTTCGACCTTAACTCAGATCATTCTCCAATAATAGCAACATACAGCACAATAGCCCATATGCTGGAAAAGCCCTATAAAGTCATTACAGCCTCTACAGACATTAACGCATTTAAAAGCTATTTGGACTCAGCTGTAAGCCTGGACATTTCGTTAAAAACAGGAGAAGAGATAGACTATGCTGTGGAGCTTTTCACAAATACAATTCATAAAGCGAGCTATAGAAACACGAATCATGCTCCTAATCTTCAACAACCAAATCAATTGTACCTTTCAACCGAACTTCGACAAAAAATACAAAATAAAAGAAATCTGCGAAAACGCTGGCAAGAAACTCACTACCCTGCTGATAAAAGATTATACAACAAGGCTGCATCTGAGCTTAGACAACTGCTGTCGAACTTACGCAATGAATCTCTAGCTGCGTATTTGAGAAACCTTGACCCAAACTCCTGCAACAACGAACACAACCTATGGAGGGCGACCAAATACCTAAAGAGACCAACTAAAAGAAACGTAAACATTCGTAAAGGCAATGGAAGATGGTGCAGGTCTGATAAAGAACAAGCGGAAGCATTTGCCCAACATCTGCATTCCGTGTTTCAGCCAAACGACATCAATAACCCAATAACAGAGACTGAAATCGAAAACTTTCTTGAGTCACCCTGTCAAATGAGCTTGCCTATCAAAAGCATTAAGTATGAAGAAGTTGTGACAGAAATCAAATGCTTGAACAACAAAAAAACACCAGGCCCTGACAAAATAGACGGCATCACCCTAAAAACTTTACCACCAAAATGCATTCGACTTCTCACTCTCATATATAATGCAATTCTCAGACTAGATCACTTTCCAAGTCAATGGAAATGCGCAGAGATCATTATGATCCTAAAGCCACTCAAAACAGAAACAGAACTGACCTCATACCGTCCCATTAGTCTGTTGACAATATTCTCGAAAGTATTTGAAAAAATACTATTGAAGAGAATGTTGCCAATTTTGGACGAGCTTTCCATCATTCCTGAATATCAATTTGGATTCAGGAGAGGTCACGGGACACCTGAGCAATGTCACAGGGTCATTAATGATATAGTCTCTGCATTTGAAAACAAAAAATACTGCACTGCTGCGTTTCTTGATGTACAACAAGCGTTCGATCGAGTCTGGCACAATGGTTTATTGTACAAGATAAAGAAATGGCTACCTGCCCCATACTATCTATTAATCAAGTCATATCTGACTAAAAGATGCTTTTACGTGCAGCAGAAAAGCGACTCATCAACGCTAAACTGCATTAACGCAGGCGTCCCACAAGGAAGCGTACTGGGGCCAATTCTGTACACCCTATACACGGCTGACATGCCAGGTACAAACACATGCACTGTAGCAACATATGCTGATGATACAGCCGTTTTGGCTACAAGCACATCCAAAAATGAAGCGTCTGAACTCCTGCAGCGTGAGCTAAGCTTAATTGAAGACTGGTTTCTTCGATGGAAAATTAAAATCAACTCCCTAAAATCCGTCCAAATCACTTTTTCATTAAGACCAGGCAGCTGCCCTAATGTTGCACTTAACGGCTCACCAATTCCACAAACTACATGTGTGAAGTACCTCGGGATGCATCTCGACCGCAGATTAACATGGAAAAATCACATCAAAGCAAAGTGTCAGCAGCTCAGACTTAAAACACTAAAAATGTCCTGGTTGTTAAGTCGCAAATCAGAAACCTCTCTGGAAAACAAAATCCGCCTCTACAAAGCCATACTAAAGCCTGTTTGGACCTACGTTTTACAGCTCTGGGGAACTGCTAGCAAATCAAATATTGAAATTCTTCAGCGTTACCAATCCAAAACTTTGAGACAAATTGTCAATGCTCCCTTCTACGTAACTAATGCAAACATCCACAAAGACCTCAACATCCCAACCATAAAAGAAGAAATAAATAAAATCAGTAAAAAATACATCGACAGACTCCATAACCATGAAAACAATTTAGCCTTAAATCTAGTGGACAATAGTTTAACAGTAAGAAGACTGAAAAGATACCACATTCTCGATCTCCCCGACAGATAAATTAAACTACTGTAAATATGTAAAATATATAATAGCAGAGCTCACTGGAGAACTGCTATTTCTGTTAGCTTAACACTCCTCATAAAATTTACCTATTGTTAATTAGACAGATTGTAAATAAATAATAAAGAAAAAAAAAAAAAAAAAAAAAAATATTTCAAAGTTCTGAAATCTTAAATTGTCCTATTTCAAATATACAAAAATGGTTTCTAAAGTTTTTTTTTTTAGCAAATATATTAAATATTGTAAAATTAAAAAAAAATGTTTGTTAAGCTTTTTTCTAGGTAATATATTAATTGAAATTTGTAAATCATTTTAAAGAAAGTATTTACAATATTTAATATATTTGCTAAAAAAAACTTTAGAAACCATTTTTGTATATTTGAAATAGAAAAATATTGTATATACTTTCTTTAAAAAGATTTACAAATTGTAATTCAAATATATACTAAAACTGTTCGTAAAGCATTTTTCTAAGTAATATATTAAATATTGTATATACTTTCTTTAAAAATGTTTACCAATTTCTTTAAAATATACTAAAACTTTTTGTAAAGTATTTTTAGGTAATATATTAAATACTTTCTTTAAAAATCCTTAAAAATGTTCTTTCAGTGCACAAAGAAATTAGTTTTTGGCCCAAAAAGAAGCAGCAGATGTTGCTGCCTCACTGTTGCCTGTAGTTTCTGCTGTTGTTGCCGTGTGCTGCAGGCAATATACTTAATTAAAAGTCGCACGAGACAAAAGCCGAGCAAAAACCGATTAAAAAGACCAAGATTTTTGCACAACTGCTACAGCCCCCCCTTGATTCCTCCCCCTTTCCCTCCTTTCCTGCCACCCTTTGATTTTAACCCCAGAGGGAAAACTACTCCTCTCTCTCACTTTCTCTTCCACCTTTCACTTGCAATTGTTTGTCACTCAACAACGTTGTTTCCCTTTTTTTTTAGTTTTCCCTCTCAGTTGTTTTTATTTCTCTTCTTTTTGGCAGGAATTGTTTTTATAGTTAGCACATCAAAGCGTATTTTCCTTTGTAGTTGTTGTTTTTGTTGCCGCCAATTCTGATTATTCACATCGATCGGAATTTGTGAAATTTTCACGAATTGACACTTTTAGCCACTTGGGTGGCTCGTGTCGCTAAATCTAAATTTACACGCACCTTGATGCAGCTGCAGCAATTGTTGCAATTGTTGCAATTGCTGATGCTGCCGCAAGTCGATGTTGCGACGACACAGGGCCTGATGCAATGACAAATCAATTGATTCGAACGAAATGCCAACAATTTATTCACTTGTGCAAAATAAATGTTGTGTGGTCTAAACAGTGGTCAAAAGAGGTGAATTTTGGGAGCAAAAAAAATAGTGAGTGTGAAATAATATATTACTATATATTTAATAATGTATTATATTAAATATATATATAAGAAGCCATTTGTTGTTTTTTTTTAGTTAAAAATTATATGACGATTGTATGAATATACATTAATTTATATAAAATTAAACAATTGTCTAGAACTCTTTCTCATATAATTAATATATGTTTAAATATCAACAAATTATATACAAGCTAGGTTATTACTTAAGAATCAATGTTAAATTATTTTTAGATTCCCCGTTTAAAAATACCCATAAATCCACAAAGCAAATTAATTAACTTATCAAATACACATTAATGTTTTTTCTTTGGTATTTTTCTATTGCTAAAATTTCCACGAATAAAACTCACAACCCCCCAAGAATTAATCAATTAAACTGGATCCAAAATGACCTTTTGACTTTCCTGCTGCATTTTGGCCGCCGCTCGTGTTTGGCCAAAAGGCACCTGTTCCAGAGTTTTCCCTTTCCCGAGGACGTCATGCGGTTTTTCCAGTTAAAGATCTACAACTACAGATCGATTCTCCCCAGAAATTTTATAGGGCGCGTGTTGTTTTGAACTCGAGAAGCCAACGGTAGGCATTAAATTATAATAGTTAACAGTCGACTTTAATTAATTACATAAATATTTGTTCAAAAAGCCAGTGCTGCTTGCTACTCTCCATTTAGAGACAAATTGATAAATGAACATTGAGGGAAAATTTATGTGCATTTTCTGGGCGATATTCACCTGTTCCACAAAACGAAACGGGGGGGAAATACGAGAGGAAAACACATGTCAGGATGATGAACT